AGGTAGATTTATAGCCACTTTTATGTAACTTTTTGACCACATTAATTTGCTTGAAAAGCTTGATATAGTTAGCATTAGCAATACCTAATCTTCTTATTAATTTATCATTAATATAATTATCCAAGGATGTAAGATCTCTTGATGCATCAGGTGGCATTCCCAAACGCACTGCACGTATATACATCTTTTCTAAGGCCTCATTATATAAAGGGTTCTGAATACTCTGAGAACGTAATTGATTTGATTGGGTTATTTGTTCTTGTAGCAATGCTTGGATTCGAGCATTAATAATTTTTTCAACATCTGCGGTAGTAATGCCCTGATTTATCGAAGCCTTTTGAGCTATTAGTTGGTTATAGATATTCTCACCCAAAAGCATTTCACTCTTTTCTTTTTCAATTTCTTCCAAATTTTCGATCAAGTTATTATTTAATGCTCTATTTAGTCCTAAGCGTTTGACTTCTAACTTATTTTCAGGATTTAATCCACGAAGAAATTGCATTCTTTTTTCGTGATCACCAATTTGTGCTAATTTTGCATACTTGCATAATTTTCTATAGTATTCTCTAATCAGAAGATTATTTTGTATCAGATTGCCAAAAATTAATTCCTGTTGCTTTCGAACTTCTGTGGTGTAAGTAGTTCTCCATAAATACAATTCTTGGCTAATATTAATATCAGGAAGAACAATTTGATTGTTATTATTTGTAGCTCCGTTTGAAATATTATTTGCCATAATGGGATCTACAGCGTATCTCCAGCATAAGACCAATCTTCATCTGTATGTACATCATGCGCTGGGATAATAAGAGCTCCAGTAGCTCTAGCTGGTAATGCTGGTGCAACCGTTTCATCAGGAGCATTTATTTAAAGAGCTGTTATTTGACCATTATTTAGAGCACGAACAGTGGCCATGTTAGCTAAATTATTGCCAACGGCAACATGATTTAGCCGAAACTTTTTTCCAGCAATTTTAGTTTCATGCCACTGGGAAGTATTATCTGTTAAGGTTGATTGCCATAATGCTAAAGCTCTCTGTTTACCCTACACATTATTCGTGGCAATTCTGACAGCCGTTAAATAGAGATGATAATTTTTAATATGCTCATCTAAGTCCTCATCACCTCTACCTGAATACCTTGGTGGTGGATATCCTGCCATACCTATATATTGTATATTAGGTGGATTATTCTGAAGCGCCAAAATTTGTCTCTACAAATTTAAAATATTCTGGTCTCTTTGCCTAATCACTAGCTGGAAAACAAACTTCTCACATAGCAATTCACCAATGCGAGTTTGTTTTCTTGCTATAATAACTAACATCCTATTTACCTGGTTTTGGGCATTGGTCTGCAACTGTCAGGTATTTTGCTGAAGATGGTTAACATTTTGCTGACATAATATCTGTTTAGCAAACTTTTCTCGTAATAATTCTTGAATACATCTATCTTTATCCTGATATGAGAAATACCAACGGTAGGATTCTTTTTTCTTATTATTATAAGCCAAAATAGCCATTTCCTGCTCTCCTTAAGCATTATCTCTCCCCCTTATAGCTACATCCCTTTCTCTTATAGTTCTTTCAATCTGAACGCAGGACTCATCTAATAAACGTTGTAATCATAAATTCTAATTTCTACTATCATTTAACTGGTTCCTAAGATGATCTACTTGCTGAATTGAATCATGTAATAAGTTTTGATATTAATCACGCTCGGTTGTAATATTTTGCAAAGTAACCCGAATAGTATTTAACGAACCTCTAATACCATCTATAATATTAGCGGGATTCTGCATAGGCGTACTAACACCTCTAATATAATTTTCTATCTGCTCTAGTCCTCTATTAATATTTGCGATAAGATTAGTTGTTGCCATATCTAAATTATCTATTGGGATTTTTTATCTATGAGAATCCGGATTCTTGCCTTGAGACGTTCTACTTTATTCTCAAGCTCTATGATTCGGCCATCTTGAATAGACCCAACTTCATCTTTGAATTTTTTATCTTGTTGTAAGATTCTAAGCTGTTTTCGCAAATCAGATATTTCTGATTTAAATTTCTCTATCACTTTCTCGTGAACTATAATAGTATTATCCTGTAATGAAATAGTTCAATAACATTGCTCAAGCTCCTTTACAAGGGATCAAATTTTTTT